AGATTGCCCAACCTTCCTTCCGAGGAGTGGCTGGTGGGTTTGAACCGCCAGCCTTCTGGTGAGCAGTCAAGCGCCTTAGGCACTACACTACTAGAGCTCCCACTGGTATTTTGCAAAAAAGTCATCCAACGTGGACAGATTTCAGCAGAGCTTCCAGATTAAGAGAGACTACAAAAACAGGCCTGGAGATCCTCTTCCAAAAATGAGCCAGTGAAAACCCAACAGATCAGAGTATTGATTGTAGATTCAAACCAGATTCATCATGCCAAAGAGGACATTATGCTGAGTGAAAAAAAAATCAATCACAAAGGGACAAATACTGTATGATCACACATTTATAAGACAAGATAGATACACAGAGACCCATGCTTACTGGTGGTTGGATGGGGGTGGCTGAAGGAAATGGGGATGCACTCTTGAGACAGGAGACACTTATTGGCTATGGTGCTGGGAAAGGCAGCACTGAACGCAGTGAGGTGCACACAGCTTGGCCAGAGTGAAAGATGTCATTAAGAAGTACACGAAAGGGTATTTTTGGTAAAGAGTATGACAAAAAAAATTTTCCAACAATACTAACAACCACAAAAATATGTGTGTTGCTATAAAAATATGTATATAGCATATATATGAGTATTAATATGTGGTTACATATGTGCGCACAGACACAGAAGTTATCTACAGGTATATGTACATATAGGTATCTGTGTGCATGTATATCCGTATGTATAATAAACTACACAGGGGACAAAGTTATGGATACTTCTTTTTTTCTTTTAAAATTTTTTACTGTGATTTGGGTGAAAGTTTACAAAGCAAATTCATTTTCCATACAGCAGTTCATACACATTTTATTTCATGACATTGACTGCAATTCCCCACAATGTACACTGTGAAGTTACCTCTTCCCTGTGTTCTTCTTTCCTATGCATTCCTGCCACCGAGCTATCTCCCTGTGCAAACACTGCCATTCTGTTCTCCCACAATTGCCCTACCTGATGCAAATGTTCACCCTTCATGCCTGTACTTCTTTGGCTGGAAGCCACAGGAGCGAGTTCAGTTCCAGACCTGAAGGGAAACTAGGGGCCATAGTCTCAGGGGTCTCATCAGGCTCTATCACACCAGTAAACTTGTTCTTTTTTTACGACTTTGGGTTTTGTTCCACACGGTTTTCCCATCCTATCCAGGATCTCCTGCACTGATCCCCTTCTGAGTGGCTGACAGTGGTAGCTGGGTACCATCTAGTCATCTAGGCTGGGGGCTGCATGGTCTACTAGCCCCCTGGACTAACTGTTTCATGCATCTTTGGCTTTCTTCCTTCTTCTTTGCTCTGGACAAAAGACTCATTGTTGCATATGGATGGCCGCTTGCCAGTTATGGGTACATCTTAGACATAACCAAACACTTCATAAGATTGGTTTTCTGGGTTTGAAGACTTAGGATCATAGTCTTGTGGGACAACTCAGTTAACTGGCATAAAATAGTTCACAAAGGGTATGTCTATATCCCAATGTGGTGAGTAGTGTCTGGGGTGTTAAAAGCTTGCTAATGGCCATCTCAGATAGAACTACTGGTCTCTACTCATCTGGAACCAAAGAGAAAGAAGGAAGCCAAAGACTCAGAGAACAAAGTTGTCTACAGGACTAACAGTGCACAAACCAGAGTCTCATCTACCCTGAGACAGAATTAGACAGTGCTCAGCTACTACTACTCACTGTTCTGATCAGGGCCATGACAAATGGATCCTTTATAAAATGGGAAAAAATTGTGGAACAGAATTCAAATTCTTAAAAAGTGCAGACTTACTGGACCATTTGAAATTAGAGGACTCCCTGAGACTACTGCCCTGAGTTATGCTTTAAACTTTAAATCAAAACTATCCCTTGAGGTTACCTTTTAACAGATTGGCTCATAAAATAAAGAACATCACTCACTGAGTAATGAACTCCTAAAAAAAAAAAAAATCATCTATATGAGACCAAACAGTCAAAAATTACTCTAAAACAAAGATGAGAAGGGGGCAGGGAAACTAGAGTGCTGGAAATGGTACAGGCAGAATAGAATGAATGAGAATGATGACAAATTATGAAAAATGTAACCAGTATCACTGAATAATGTGTTTAGAAGTTGTTATATGGGGACCTAATTTGCTTTGTAAACTTTCACCTTAAACACAGTAAAATATCATTAAAAACAAATACCTCATGCGATCTGGTTCCCAGTTAACTGGCCTAATAGCATGTTTAGTGCTTCTGTTCTACCTCTTGATTTGTTGCATAGTGCCCAAGGTCTTAAAAGCTTGCAAGTGGCCATCCAAGGCACAACGATTGGTCTCTATTCACCAGGAGCAACAGAGGAAGAAGCGGAACAGGAGGAGGATATGGACTGTGTGGCTAATTGCTTCCATGAGCAACTGTCTCCTTTGCCGGGAGACCAGAAGAATGGGATGGTGCCCAGGTACCTATACTGAATGCTTTGATCAAAGAGTCCATAGAGGAATCCTGATCAAAAGAGGGAAAATGCAGAACACAATTTCAAATTCTCATACACTTTCTGGAGCACAGAGGGTAGACAAACCCCGGAAACTAATGCCCTGAGATAATCTTTCTGTCTTAAACCAAAAATATCCCCTGAAAAATCATTTTAAAGCCAAACAACAGTTCAGCTTAATGAGCAAAACGAGGTCTGCATTGAGTCATGCTCTTTTAAGAGCTATCTATATGGGACCAAATTAACAACAGCAACTCAAAAGATTAGACAGGAAATTTAGGGCGCAGTGAATTATTAATGAGGGGGAACAAAAAAGGAAAGTGAGAATGGCTGTACAACTCAAAGAATATAAACAATGCCACTCAACTACACATGTAGAAACTGTTGAATTAGCGTATGTTTTGCTACGCATATACCCAACAACAATAAAAAAATAAATAACATTTAAAGAAAAAATAAAAAAGATGCCAGTGACCATGAAGATGGCACAGGACCAGGCAATGTTTCCTCCTGTTATACACAGAGGCATCACGAGTCAGGGATGACTCAATAACAACCCAAGAGAAACAAAATATTGTGTCCATGCAAAAATTTGTACCAAAATCATTATTCATAATAGCCAGAAAGTGAAAATGACCCAAAAGCCCAATAGTGGAGGAATGAACACATGTTACCATGTAGATGAGCCTTGAAAACCTGCTAAGTGAAAGAAAGCACTAACAGAAGACCACATGCTGTATGATTTTATTCACATGAAAAGTCCAGAATAGGGATCTCTATAGGGATAGAATATGGATTAGTGGATGCTTAGGGCTGGGTGTTGAGGGGAGCAGGATGGGACAGTGTCTAAAAGGTACAAGTGTCTTTTTGAGGTGATGAAAATGTTCTAAAATGACTGTGATGGGTGTACGTATCTGTGAATGTCCTATTCATAGCTACTGAACTAAACAGTTAAAACGAGTGAAATACATGTTATGTGAATTCTGAACTTCCTTAAAATCAAGCAATCCAGTGTACAGGAAATTATAAGGTTGGATTTTCTTTCTTTTTTTTTTTTTTGGTCTGA